CCGGGTGGATCAGCATGGAGCTGGGTTGGAAGCAGAGCGGTGCCCACAGGGATTCTGGCACAGTGGCTGGCCTCTTAGCTCACCGTGCCATGATCCAGACCCCACTGGTGGACACGGGGTTTTAAGTCTCAGTTCCCAACCTGCTGGCTTTCCTCTGCACTCCCCACTGGCACGGCACCTGCTGTCTCCATCTCCACAGACGCAGCCACTCCCTCCTGCTTCCACGTCCCTGCCATCAGTCCCATGAGCCTCCAGGGAGCACCTCCCACAGGCCAGGCTCAGGGCTGGAACACAGAGGGGTGTTCCCCAGGCCCTGCGCCCCTGGACTGCAGGGTCCCCCGGAGGAGCAGCAGCCATGGAGCAGGCACTCCATGGACGGTGAGCAAATGAGCTGGCAGCCTCCAACCTCCTGCTTCAACTCCCTCCTCGGTCCCAGTGGGCCCTGCCTCGGTAATTACCTCTGCCTCCTGCTTGTGTGGCTGCCCAGGCCTGCCCAGGAGCCAAGAGCCACCCCGGGCCCTGGCTGAGCCCTGCTGGGTGAGCGCTGTCCACCCTCAGCTGCCTCCCAGAAGCCCTCAGGCCTTCCTGCAGCCAGGTTTGGACCCAGGGTCCAGTCACGGGTGAGCCCCGCTCCTGTGCCCTGACGACCTGAGTCCACCTGGCTGCTGATGCAGGCCCCGGAAAGTCACCCGTGCCACTTCATGAAGGGGAAGTGACAACGGGGAAAGGGCCAATACTCCTGGGCTGAGCTCCTCTGGCCGTGACCCTGACTGCAGTGCTAGGCCTGCCTTAGAGATGCACAGGGCCCCCTGGGGACGTGTGTGTGTGGACCAGCCCCCTGCCAGGACACAGCAGGGTGAGAAGTTGGCATTCAGTGGCTTGTCCTACATGAGGGCCCACAGCATGAAGGGCAGTGCCAGGCACGCAGCCCTCCGTGTGAGCCTGCGGCCTATGCCCCCCTCTCTGGCTGTCCTGTATCCCTGCCCCAGGTCTGCCATGCAGTGGCTGTGTGGCCTTGGGAATGTGGCCATGTCTCTCTGTGCCTTCTGGTGTCGGGGAGCTGTGAGAGCACCCTTCCTTCAGATGTGACGGGGTGCATCTGGAGTGGTGCTGCCCGGAGCAGCAGCTCCTGTCATACAGCGCCAAGAGCCAGTGGGTGGACACATGGGACGCTGCGGAGTGGGGTCAGCCCCTGAGTGTGTGTGAGCACTGTGTGCCTGCGGGCATTGTTCCTGCCTCAGTGTCGTAGACAGGCAGCATGCCAGAGAAAGATCCATCTGTCTGCTGGTTCACTCCCCAAATGGCCACAAAGGCTGAAGCTGGGCCAGGCAAAAGCCAGGAGCCAGGAGCTTCTTCCGGGTCTCCCACACGGGTGCAGGGTCCCAAGGCTCTGGGCCGTCCTCCACTGCTTTCCCAGGCCACGAGCAGGGAGCTGGATGGGAAGTGGAGCAGCTGGGACTTGAACCAGCACTCATTTGGGATGCCAGCATCACAGATGGTGACTTAGCACACTTGGGCCAGATGCCAGCCCACCACCGTGTTAGAGGGACAGGGACAAGCACCCAGCATGCTGTGGGGGCCGAGCTGGTGACAAATGCCTGGGCCGTGGTGGTGGCAGGCAGGCCCTGAGAGGGACCGGGGGGGGGCCTGCACCAGGCTGGGAGTCCAGGGGCCACTGGAGGGGGAAGCAGGGATGCCAGGTGCTGCTCAGCCTCTGACCTCTTGGGGCTCCTTGTCCCTTTGCCTTGGAGCTCCTGGGGGTCAGCAGGGTGGTGCCCAGCCCAGAACCTGGGCCCCGGTGTCCCTGAGTGGTAGAATATCACCACCAAGCCTCACTGGCATCGCAGCTGCGTCCCTGCACTGGCATCGCGGCTGCGTCCCTGCACTGGCATCGTGGCTGCGTCCCCATGGAAATGAATTGCTGCTTGGCTAACAGGGGGCCGGCCACTGGCACAGACCTCTCGGCCAAGCTGCCCCCAGCTTCAGGGAGGACGCAAGGTCCTTGGTCCCAGGGGCCAGAGTCTGGCCTGAGTGCCCTCTCTTCCGCCTGCAGGAAGCCCTCACCACTGCAGCGGGGGGCAGGGGCCGGGCAGGAGCATGTGGCGGGTCCCAGCACTGAGACACAGGAAAGGGTGGCCCATGATGTCCATCAGATGTGTGTCACAGCTACACAGGAGGCCGGGCCACAGCTACCCATGGCAGACACCGGCAGGAGCCAGGTGGATGTGGGCCACCAGAGCCTCAGGACTGAGGCCGGCAGCCTCCCTCCTGGAGGTCCAGGCCCATCTGCTCGGCTTCCCATCCAGCTCCCTGCTAATGCATCTGGGAAGGCAGCGGAGGACGGCCCAGGGTCTTGGGCCCCTGCAGCCATGTTGGAGACCTGGAAGGTGCTCCTGGCTCCTGGCTTAGGGTCAACTCAGCTCTGGCCATTCCAGCCATTTGGGGAGTGAACCAGCAGATGGAAGATCTTTCCCTCTTTTTCTTCTCTCCCTAAGTCCAATCTGCCTTTCCAATATAAGAATAAATAAATATAAATGGGGGGGAGAAAAAAGTCAGGAATTCTCCCCAGAGTGGAATTCAAAAAACTTCAGAGCAGGCAAAGGAAACAGAGGGGCCAGAGGCCAGAGGTGTGGGCGGGGGACCAGAGAGACCCCATTGCGCCTTGCCCTCTCTTGGGTGAGGGTTTTCCATCCAGGTGGCCCAGGTCAGACTTTCAGAAGTGCAGAGGGTGCCAGGCTCCCAGGCCACGGAGGTGGCAGTAGTTCATGATGCTTTCCCTCCCCCCACCCTGTTTGCCTGAGGCCCACGGCCTTGGAGAGTTTCCTGTTCAAGCTGCCAGCCCTGCTTCATGGCACTGGAACGCCTCTGGTGCCTGCATCTCTCATCGTGGCTGGAGTCACCAGGGTCACGGGAAATGGGGGAAGGGGAGATCACGGGGGGGGGCGGGGTGCAGGGCAGGGGGCTCGGAATGTCAAGGCCGGATGGGAAGGTGCTGGCCAGCGATGGCTTGGAAGCAGTTGCCATTTTCCAACAGCCCACTGCTGGAGGGCTGCTGATTCAGCAGGCAGCATTTGGAAATGCAAATGCAGAGTGTGCAGGAGTTAGGGCCACAGTGGTTGCAACAGTGTGTGGTGGGGGGTGCTGAGGGCTGCCAGTCCCCAGGAAGGAATCGCAGAGGGCGCGCACACTCCTTCCGCCTCCCAAGGGTTTTGTGCACAGTGAACCCTCCCAGCAATGTCCCTGGAAGCAGCCCAGAGGGGAAGCACATCTGGCCACTGGGTGACAGAAGAAAACAGGGCCTCAGCCACCTGCAGCCACCATCCGAAGCTCTCCTGACCTGAATCGCAGCTCCTGCGTCCCCGCAGCTGCCCTCCATGAGCCCTGCCCCTGCAGCGGCCTCTCCACAGTCCCCCGCCCCCGCTGTAGCCCTTCAGCGCACACATTCCGGGGAGGGTCGGGGACACTGGCTTCTGCCTGAGGACTCACGGTTTAAACTGGTCCCAAGATGTTCCAAACACAGACGCTGTCTGGAAGGGGAGGGGAGCGTGTGAGTTGAGGCCCCTTGTCTCTTTTTTAAAGATTTATTTTTATTATTTATTGGAAAGGCGGATGTACAGAGAGGAGAGACAGAGAGGAAGATCTTCCATCCGATGATTCACTCCCCAAGTGAGCGCAACGGGTCAATACTACGCCGATCCGAAGCCAGGAGCCTTTTCCGGGTCTCCCACGCGGGTGCAGGGTCCCAAAGCTTTTTGGGCTGTCCTCGACTGCTTTCCCAGGCCACAGGCAGGGAGCTGGAAGGGAAGCGGGGCTGCCGGGATTAGAACCGGAGAGGCCCCTTGTCTCTTCCAGAGCTCTGTGTGCATGTGGGGAGGGCACACCTGTTGGCCAGGACGCGGAGGGCGCTCCGAATTCCTGGGACTGCAGTGTGACCCGTGCTTAACTCACGGGGATTCGCCACACGCAGGTTTTCTGGGGTGAGCGCCCCTCTGCGCCCACGGTGGGGCCCGAGCTGCGCTGAGTCTTTAGGGGGAAAACCACTTGTACTCTCCCAGGGCGCCAGGGGGTGGGGTCTCCCCAGGTAACCTGACCATGCCTCCTTTCTCCTGGCAGGGCGCACAGAGTGCCCTGGGTTACACAGTTCGTGTCCCTTTAAATCCAAGTCCTGGGAAAGTGGGGGCGGCTAGGGCGCCCTCGATGGACCCCTGTTTCCAGCCGACCGGGCTCTCGGGGAGGCAGGGAGTTGGGGAGCAAGCCAGGAGAGACTGCAAAGGGCGGGGCGCCTCGGGGTCCCCGCCTGCGCGCCGCGCACCAGGCCTGGCCAGGCAGCGCCCCTCTCCGGGCCGTGTGCGCGCGCGTGTGTGTGCGCGCGTGTGTGCGCGGGGGGCCGGGGGATCGGTCAGGGGGCGCGCGGGCCGCCTGGGTGCGCGCCTCGCCTGCCGAGCGCGCGAGCCGGGCCCGGAGCGCACGCCGTCGCCGCCGCCGCCCGGGCCCGCCGCATTGCTGCTGCCGCCGCGCCCCGCGCCCGGCCGCGGCCCCCGACATGGTGCAGCCGCCCGCGCCGCCGCCCGTGCCACCGCCGCCCGTGCAGCCGCCACCCGTGCCGCCGCGCGCGGGCCCTGCCGCCGCCGCCCCCCGGCGCCCGCAGCGCGGCAGCCGCAGGTGGGGGGCCGCGGCCCGGGCCTGAGCCCGCGGGGCCCTGGCACTGAGCGGAGCCGCGGGCACAGCCGCGGCGCTCCTGCCCCCTCCCTGCGCCGCCCGCCGCCCCTCCCCCGCCTCCGGTCCCGGCTCCAGCGGGAGCGCGAGACGCCGGCCGGGCTCCGCGGCGCAGCTCGGGGAGCGTCGCCCCCGGTGACTTAGAGCCCGCCGGAGCCCGCGCCTGCTCGCCGCCGCCTCCCCCGGGCCGGGTCGCAGCACAAAGCGGCGGGCCAGGACTCCGGGCTGGGGGTCGCCTCGGGCTTTTTTTCACCGCGCGCGGCTCCACAAACCGAGTTTCATGCATGTCCAGTGGGGGTAGGTTTAATTTTGACGATGGGGGGTCCTACTGCGGAGGCTGGGAGGACGGCAAGGCGCACGGCCATGGCGTCTGCACCGGCCCCAAGGGCCAGGGCGAGTACACCGGCTCGTGGAGCCACGGCTTCGAGGTGCTGGGCGTCTACACCTGGCCCAGCGGCAACACGTACCAGGGCACCTGGGCGCAGGGCAAGCGCCACGGCATCGGTGTGGAGAGCAAGGGGAAGTGGGTGTACAAGGGCGAGTGGACGCACGGATTTAAGGGGCGCTACGGGGTGCGGGAGTGCACTGGCAACGGGGCCAAGTACGAAGGCACCTGGAGCAACGGGCTGCAGGACGGCTACGGCACCGAGACCTACTCGGATGGAGGTAGGCGCTGCGGGCGCGGCGGGCTGGGGGCCTGGTGGGGGGCGCGTGGGCGCGGAGGAGGGACGCTGTGCACATCTGGCCCCTTCTGCTGATTTCTGGGGAAGTTGAGCCACTCCTTAGACTGGGGCCGTGGGCACGGAATTCTCCAGAGGCCTCAGCGGCCCTTGGCTACAGGTTGCCCTTCTGCCTGGTGAGGGGCGCTGGGGGGCTTTGCAGCATGTGGGCCAGGCCTGCCGGGGAGCTGGGCTGAGGAGGCCAGAGACGGGGAAAGGCCCTGCTGGGGCCTGGCCAGCCCTGGGGCCCAGCAGAGGCAGCGTGTCTGTGTGTGTGTGTTGGGGAGGGGTGGTGCTGGGCCAGGGTCCCCTCCCTGGTCGCCATGGCCCCTGGCGTGGGGGGAGCTGGTCCGGACCGCTGCCTGTTTTCCTGCTGCCCAAGGGCCTCCCTCAGCCCTGAACCAACCCAAGCCAATGAGGAGGGAGCGGTGGGGAGCGCCAGGGCCGGAGATGCCAATCCCAGCCCTGGCGCGGCGAGGCAATAAACTTCTAGGTGGTTGGATGGGGCTGCGCTGCCGCTGCTGGAGGGAGGGGGAGGCCCATCTGCTTAGCCAGAGCCCAGGAATCTCGCCTTCCAGTGGCTGAATCATTTTCCCCTTGCTGTCGCTGAGGGGGGATTCTGTGCTGCCTCCGCAGGAGATGCCACCACAGGCCGTCATTCCTTCACTGGGGGCTGAGCCCGGCGCGGCAGCGGGGAGAGGGGGCAGCAGGGAGAGGGGACGCTTGGGCTGCTTTGCTGCCTTTGTTCCTGGAAGCCAGACCCCACTCCAGGTGTCCCTCCCCCGTCTCGGAGCAAGTCCCCAGAGGTGGCTCCCTGCCTCCGGGCCCCCAGGACAGGAGCTCAGAACACCTGCTCCCCTCCCCCGCCGCGACCACGCCACAGCCACGGAGGGCCCTGTAATGATTATTTTGGCTTATGCAACGGAAGGCAGCTTCGTTATTGCCCAGAGCAGAGGAGGAGTCTGGGGCAGTTAATTATATAACGCTGCTGCCTGTCGGAGTCAGGCCCAGCCCCGGTCCCCGGTGGCCCTTCCTGACTGTTGTCATGGAGCGGGTAGGGGTGCAGAGCCAGGCCCCGGCAGACGGGCCTGCCTGGGTTCCAGGTGTGGGCCTGCGTGTGTGCTCTGCTGCCCGCAACACAGGCCCGGCGAGGCCCAGGCAGCTGCTGTGGGTGGCCCAGGGAGGTGGGTAGGCAGTCGGCGCTCCCAGCTGGGCTGTCTGGAGCCCTGGAGTAGGGATGCAGCCGCCTGTGGGCTGTGACCGGGCTGCCCTGCAGAGGGGCTCTGGCCGAGCCTGCCCCAGCACTTGCTTCTTGGCCCGTGCAGCCACGCTCACATGGGGACACAGGGAGGGGAGGGTCTCGGCCCACTTCCACCCCACTCCCAATGCTGTGGAACTTCCTGGAACATTCAGGAGTCTGCACCCACGCCTCCACGTGGCCTGGGGGATTCCTTTCTTGATCCTGAAAACATTTGCCCGGTATTTATAGGACCTAGCGGTCTCCAATGCCAGCCTCATTTCTTTCCCCCGTGGGCTCCTGGGCGCCCCCCAACACTGCCCGGTCAGCCCCAGCGCAGACCCCCGCCCCCCTCCCGCCCATCCTGCCAGGTCAGGTCTATTTCACACGTGGTTCTGTTCCCTAGGCTTCCTGGAGCCGGGGTGGGGGGCCATGAGCCCCTGCTCCCACAGGCTCACGTGCAGGGCTGCACAGCCAGGTCGTGGTGGTGACAGTGTGGCAACCCCTCTGGCCTGGAGCAGTCGGGTCCTAATATCCGGGGCCACCTTTCTGGGTTGTGTTTCCAGCTTCCCTTTGGGAAGGAGATGGGAATGTGAGCCCCTCCTGGGGCAGCGGCCCCCTGGGAAGGGCATGGTCCCCGCTTGCCTCTCGGGGTGGGCCTTGGGCACCAGCCCAGTGAAGCTGCGTGGTTCACTTAGCCCAGCTCCGGGTGCTGTCTTGCATGAATAATGCACTGGTGGCAAATGGGTTCTGTGTTCAGCCAGCACCGGCGCCGAGTGTTTGAGCCCGGGCCACCTCTACCAGCTCCCCAAGGCACACCCTTCTCACAGGCGCTGGGCACGGAGGCACTGCCTCTTGGTGGCGGAGCTTCCTTGCTCTGGGGGCATGGTGCGGGGGTGCCTGCTGGGGGTTCTGACCCTGGCGTCACCCCCCTGCTTTGAGCCCGATTGGCCAAGGCGCTGAACCTTTCTAAGCCGCTCTCTCCCCATTTCTGCAAGCGGGTTGTGAGGGTGAGGCCTGGCAACGCAGTGCGTGGAGAGTGTGGTGTCCCGTGTCACTACTATGATGTCGCTCACCGTCTTGGCCATCAGAGAGGGATGTCTGAGAGCTGTGGGGGCTGGGTGCCAGGCGGGTCCTCATCAGCCTGTGGGGCACCTTGGGCAGTGGACACGGTCTGGGTGGACCCCAGGTAGTGACCCCGGCTTGGACTGTGCATGTGTGAGAGCTGGGCTGCCAGTAGATCCACTCTGGATGCCCCTGGTTGAACCAAGACCTGTGCCTCGTCCTCTCTACCCCGAGGAGAGGGTGGGCTGTGCCGGCCAGTGCTGTCCCCCGGGGGCTTAGGCCAAAAGTTCCCCTTTTCAAACAAGCCCACCCACACCCCCAAAGCTGTGAGTCATCGCACGCCCCGGCCCAGATTCCCGCAGCCCACGCGAGTCACACACACCCACGGTTGGAACATGGAGCTGCGCAGGCATGGGTGCGCCTGCTGCCGGGAACGCATTCCACATGGCCCAGGACGCTGCACGCACACCCCTCCGGGTGTCAAGGGATGCGACCCGCCTGGGATGAGGCAGCTGCCCGAGAAGACGGCAGGCAGCCTGCGGTTTGAAGCCACCACTTGGCCCTAGCGTGACGAGGCCTGGCGTTGGCTCAGCCCCCAGTCCCTGGCAGGGGCAGTGGGAGGGAAAAGCAGATAGTGGACCTGGTGCCGGCTACGGCGAGGGCCACTCGAGCCGGGCAGGCCTGCGTGAGGCTGCCAGGTGGAGGGTCCTTCTCTCCAGTCTCGTCCTCATCTTCCCCTAAGCCTCCGGTGTCAGGCGCGAGCTGTTTCGTGTGTTCTGGACCCTGTGTCCTTAGTGAGTCAAGTCTGTGAGCATGTGCAAGGGTGTGCTTGGGGTGACTTCCCCGTGGCAGGCCACCAGCCTCAGGGCCAGCCACTTCCCTGGCTCTGCAGGGGCCGTGGTGGGCAGAGCCCGACCTGGAGGCCCTGGCTCTGGGACCCACGGGAGCTGGCTCTCTGGCGTCGGGGGAGAGGCTGGCTTTCAGCACCTTGGACAGCGCTCCACTAGTGCCAGGCTCTGTCAGCCGGCCTCCTCACCCCAGCCTTGCCCACGCCTTGCCTGCCCTGGGCTCTGCAGCCCGTCCCTGGACCTGCCTGCCCCTGGCTGCCTCTGGGCATGCCAGGTTGGGGTGCCGGCTGTTCCTTCTCACCCCCTGCTGGGACCATCCGTCTTTCCTGGCACAGCTGAGTGCCCCTTGGTCTGTTGGTCAGAGAGCAGCATGCTGGAGCTGGGGAGGACGCTGGTCAGGCCTGTAGAAGTCACTCTAAGCTGATGTGCGTCGCTTGCGGGGGTGTGGGTGCAGAGCTGGGCTGGTAGAGGACCAGACAGCGGCAGTTAGAGAGGTCAGAGGCAAAATTGTCGATGAGTTTTCCATCTGCTGGTTTACTCCCCATAAGGCCACAATGGCCAGGGAGGGCTCAGGCGAGAGCCAGCAGTCGGGGCTCCATCCAGCTGTCGTGAGGTTGTCAGGCCACCCTCCACTGCTTTTCTAGGTGTGTTAGCAGAGAACTGGAGCCCAAGTGGGGCAGCCTGGTGGAGCTTGGGGTGCTCCTATGTACGGGGTGCTGGAGGTACAGCCTGGGACTCTACCCCTTCCCGAGTGCGCAACACACCGGCACCCTGGACCTGTCGCCCAGTGCAGTCCTGGACCTGTCGCCCAGTGCAGTCCTGGACCTGTCGCCCGGTGCAGTCCTGGACCTGTCGACCTGTCGCCCAGTGCAGTCCTGGACCTGTCGCCTGGTGCAGTCCTGGACCTGTCGACCTGTCGCCCGGTGCAGTCCAGCTCTGCACAGCGATCACTGGCCCACCTGCCGTGTGGATCTCCATCCACGAGACGCAGTGCAGTGTAAGAGGACGCCAGGCACGCAGCGACTGTAGGTCAGTCATGGCCGCCATGGGGCTAGAACTTTCCATGATCCGGCCAGCTCTGCTGGATGCTGCTGGGCTGCGGTGTAGACTCAGACGGGCAGGCCCATGCCCAGTGCCACCAGGCGGCTGGCACATGGGGCCACCCAGGGAATGTTTGTGCCCAGATGTAGCCTGCAGGAATGCCCTGCTGTCATTACTGTGGCCCTACTGAGGTGTGGGGAGAGGTTGGACATAGGCAGTTGGGGGACGCTCTCCAACACCTGCTGCCAGCACCGCCCTCCGTGTGGGCACTCTGTGGTCAGCTTGGCTCTGCCCTGGCTTTCTCACTGCCCGGAGGCCTGACCGGGGGGCGTTAATGTGGGTCTGTAACTGTGGACCCCCTGGCATGAAGGGGGCCCGACAGAGTCATGAGAGCATAGGGCTGGGGGCACAGGCCGGGAGGGGGCCTCTTGGCTCCTGCTGCTCTGAGGGCACAGGGTGGGTCCAGTGATCTGCCCGTGGGTGTGTGATGGGCACCGACATGCAAGCAGCACGTGACATGCGTGTAGCATGTGATGGAGGAGTCCGGGAAAAACACCCGCAAATGAAACATGGAAGACAAGAAGTGTGAAGTGTGATTGTGCACAAAGAAGTCGTTTCGGTTCTGGGCCGTGACCTGCGCGGTGTTCTGGGTCTGGGAGAGGGCGGGGTGACTGCATCCCCGCACTCCAGTTCCTGCTCTTGTAGGAGGTGGTGCCCTCAGTCAGCGCCCTGTCCGTGCCAGACAGACTCACCTGG